ACCACTTCGGTGGTTCTGTGTGGCTTCCTATATCAATCGAATGTGCATTGTAATGGTCTAGGGTATTACATTTAATGGTATCAGAGCGTCAAGTTTAACGTTTCTAGGGCCCGTATGTCAGTGTCAGTAAAAGAGTTTATGAGTATACATGCCCTACAAAGTTAAGTCGTACTTCTATATCTATAATAGTAGTAGTAATTCCTCGTTTCCTCTTAATTTCAAAATTTTATATATATATAGCATCCTAGATTGTTGTAGAGGGGGTAGAGATGAGAGTAGAGCTTCTTTAGCAGGTGATCTAGGAGATGAGTTCGTCCCAGACATAGAGTTTATGGAGCCCGATGGTGCAGGGGCAGATGAGACAAACTTCTTTAGAAATATGACTTCCACCTTGGAGCTTATAGCTAGAGTCCTCCCTAAGATGTCTATTCAGCTAGCCTAGTCAGTAACTACAGTAGTAGCACCTTAAGAGACCCCAGTAGAGAGGCTCCAGAGGTACCAGACCACTGAGTTCTTTAGATTAGGGGATGCTGATCCCATAGTAGCCAACCAGTGGTTAAGAGAAACCCTTAGGATTCTTTGTCAGCTGCATCCCACTCTAGAGGGTATGCTAGAGTGCTTTATATCCCTGCTGAAAGGCGACGTGATAGATTGGTGGGAGACAATAGAGATTTCGCTAGAGCTCGAACGACCTACTTGGGATTAGTTTTTAGAGGAGTTCTGTCAGAAGTATGTTGGGGAGGCCCATATGGATGCGATGAGAGATTAGTTTGCTAAGTTGGTTCAAGGGAATAGATCAGTGTTCGAGTATGAAGTAGAATTTCTCTGACTGAGTAGATATGCCCCAAAGTTGGTTTCCTGAGAGTATCAGCACTGTAGAAAGTTCACAGAAGGTCTCCAACTAGACATCCTCACTCATTTAACAACTAATCCACCGAGAGTTTTTGCTTATTTAGTTCGTCAGGAAAAAGCTGTAGAGAGAGTTGTAATGAGGAGAGCAATAGAAGAAGGTGTCACTTCAAGTTAGGGTAGAGAGGTTGTCGAGTCAACAGAACTATCCTAGATATCCAAGAGGTCAAAAGGATCTCAAGAGTCAGAGAGAGCCCCAATAGGTCAGTTTAGCCAACCAACTCAGAATGCGAGTAGAGGAGAGAGTAGGAACAGTCAACGTAAGATACCATTGTTTACCGAACCAGTAGCTAGTGTTGGAGAGTCATTGATAGCTCCTTCTATTTGTTTTATCTATAGAAGAAGACACTCAGGAGCTTGAAAATTTGGGTCCAGAGGTTGTTACCGTTGTGAGTCTCTGGATCATTTTCTCCGAGATTGCTCAGAGGCTCAGAATGCAACACTAGCGTTGACCCAATAGTCAGCTCCGTCAGTTCAGAGAGGCAAAGGGTTTCAGAGAGGAGGGAGTTCTTCTGGTCAGACTGGTAGAGGTGTCGTTTAGCCCGGAGCTAGTAGGGAGCCTAGAGTTGTATCTCGTCAGTTTACGATCATAGCTAGTGAAGATGATGATGCAGTTGATGAGATCTCTGGTAACCTTACCCTATTCCTATTATAGTAATCGTTATAGTTTACCTAGAATTCAACCCTTAGAATAAAAGTTTTAACAATTGATATTGACAGTAGATGCCTTATTGAAATTTTGGGGATGAAATTTCTTATTATAAGGGGATAGTTGTACCATCTCGAATCTCGTGTTAGTAGTTCGGGTCAACCTGAGACCCAAAGTTGAGCCCAAAAGACTTTATAAATTAGTTGGACCAAGTTTAGTGTTAGTGGGCTTGAGTTGAGGCCCAAGGTAATTGTGGTTAAGTGATAAGAGTTTTATGATTTAAAAGTTGGGGGACTAGTAATATAGTTTGCCCATAGTTAAAACTAAAAAATGAAAACCCTCCCCTTTTTATATCTTATACGTGAATCACCCTACCATTTTCTCACCAAAAACTCATCTCTTCTTCTTCTTCTTCTTCTTCTTCTTCTTCTTCTTCTTCTTCTTCTTATGCTTCTTCGTTTTCTCTTTTCTTCATCTGTTTTTAAGTGTAAAGTTTTAAGTATTCAAGCTTAGTTTGTTGTAACCAAGGTAAGAATGTTTCTCTACATCATTCAAGCTTTGTTTTAAGCTCCATTTTATAAGTTTTAGAATTAGTTTTCAAAATGGATTTTTCTTGAAGGTAGGGTGAATCCTAGTTGATTCAAGAAGTGTTTTAACAGCCAAGGCAGTAAGGTAAAACACTTATAGCTTTCTCATACAAAGTGTAGATCATGAAAAGTTAAGTTGTGTTAGAAAGTTAAGTTTAAAGCATGTTTAGAAATTTTCATGGTAGATTGTTCTTTTGATGTTATAAGCATGGTATAAAGCCTTATTTATGCTCCTTGTAATCATATAAGACTTTAAAGAATATTTGGGACTTCACTAGGGTCTTTGGGATTGAAAAATAGAATTTTTAGTACTTGCTTTAAAACTTCTGCATGTAGAGTATCGATACTGAAGGGATATTATCGATACTTGTTCTTCGTTTTGGGCAGATTCGTGAGTTTCTAGCAAGAGTCACTACTAGAAAAAAAAACCCCCTTTAATGACTCTCATTGCGCATCATCTATGGGTACAGATGACATACAAATGCGCGTCATTGAAGCCACCGACATAAATCTCAGATGATACGCAATTGTATGTCATAAATATATGACGCGCATTTATAACACGCATTTATGACACATTTACGACGCACATTTATGACGCTCATTGCGCGACATTAAAGCCCCCGACATAAATGAAGATGACACACATTTGTGTGTCATAAATTTATGACACACATCTATGACTTACATTGTGTGTCATTGAAACCCCCGTCATAAATGAAGATGACACACATTCGTGTGTTGTGATTGTATGTCATAAATTATATATATATATATATACAATCCATTTGCATACAATATATTAACATTAAGTTATCGAAAATATTGTAATCATATGTCGATACAAAATATCACGACATAATAAAGTTTTCCACATAAGATACCCATTCTTTGCGAATATCATCAATGTCATCATCCGTGTATTCTTCCTTCCCATCGCCAACCTAAGTAAAAGATATGAAATAAGTATATAATTTATACTTATTTAAAGTGAAATATATAACTATCAAAGAGTACTAAAATGAAAAAAAGGGCCAATAATCCCAAAAGAAATGAGAAGCGGGTTCAACATATAGCGCATAAGCTTCCAACTACATATTGTAATTATTTTCAGACAGAAATGTACCCTAAAACCGTGTTGATGCCTGAACCTTTGAGAGATATTCAATAGTAGCCTTCCCTGGCTTTATATTTGGTATCCTGGTGCCCATCTTATTCAGGTAATATGTTATTTCCTTCGGTAAGTTGGCCTGCACAGGAGTTTACACACAAACAGCAAACAAAAAGAAACAATGAGTAGTGGATAAACTAATAGAAGCTAAAATTGTAGAATTCTTCAAACAAACACTTCATATAAACAAATTCAAGGATTTATTATTAGATTTGAAAGATTAGTCCAATGTATACAAATAGGAAAATGAAAGAAATTTAGATAGCAATAGCACACAATAAGCAGGTAATCATCAGAAACTTAGAATCACAAAGGTTCAAAAGCACTTACAATGTCAAAGATATTAAACATAAAATTAAAAAAAGCGCATATATTGAATAGTAAACCCATGGTTCTGCTCCAACAGATGTTGCAGGGTTCAATATCTCCTTAACATGCTCCCAAAATGGTGAACCAAGGATACTGCCAATAATGCAATGTGTTAAGATCATTTTGGGCATTGAAAAAAAGATAACTTTAAGGTAAGTCCGTAGGCTAAGACAAACAACAAACCCAAGATATGTAATGCATCAAAAGAATATTGCTCCAAAAATGCGAATAGAACAGAGGATTCAAAATAAGTTTTTAAATCACTTCAGGGCACAATTACCTTGCAACAATACTTGGAAAAGCCAATAGATAAGTGGTAGTGGGAACAGGCTGCATTCCTGATGGATTAATATTAAAAGGAATATCGGGTTCTATTTCAGTGATCGGGGTATCTTCCTTTTCCAACACACAAAATAAAGAAAATACGACATTGAGAAAGAACATATAACCATTATTATAAGTTAATAAACAAACATTGAAAGTTACAAATCTCCTTAAATGAATTCAATAATAGTACTCCTACTTCACATAAAATTAGTTATTGCTCCCTACTCAGATTAGCCATAAATTGTACTATCTATGCTGCACAAAGAAGAATTGAAACCAAAGTCTATGTCTCTCCACCAAATGCATCTAATGTCTAGGTAAGTAGCACTGACTTTACCTTCCAGCAAATGCTAGTTTAAACCCATAGTACTATAGCTTTATTTTCCTGCAACCCTTAGTTACAACAACTGCCCTCATAGTGATTACAGTAAAAACACCTAATACAGCAGCATGTACAGCCACCAACTCACGGTACTTTTTGTGGATGCAAGAAACCAATAATGTTGCACATTGAAAAAAAATGCAGAAGATGCATATAATTGATGTCCATATCTACAGAAAATCAAGGTCGTTGCAGTTGAGCAAATAATCACTAAAGGACTAGTGTACATATACAATTTTCACACCACTTTCCTCACCTTCCTATGACCCACATAAATAGCTACAGAATGTACTCTTTACAATGAAATCAAATTTTGGTACCATAGCTTCAGGCTGCCTACTTAGTCAAACTTAATTTGTTAATTAATAACCGTTTAGGATATTTTTACTTATTACTAATAAGAATTTTGCATGGAAAATAAAAATCATGAAATCATTTTTTACTTTTAAAACGTGATAATTTTTGAACTAAAAAGTTATAATTATGACAAAAGCTCCACCCAACTTAAGAAGACGACCTTAGTCAGCACATATGGCATACCTGAGAGTTGAGTCAACATATCGTACATCGTATCTGTGTATCCAGTTAATATTCTAACACATATAATTAGAGACGAACCTTGACCTGAAACACATAAGCAGTGAATTAAGAAGGCCACAATACTCAAAACATTACAGTAATGTGCAGCTTCATCACTTTCAAAATGTAAGAAAACATGATCTTTAGAAAGCACATCAATTTTATATGAACTTTCATTGACTTTGGACAAGGTGAAAGGCTGAAATTTTTAATGAATTTTTATAACTTCTATAATCTAGGATAAATCATATTTCTCGTCTCAAGGTGAACATATGAGAATAATATCACTATTTCCTATTATTTCCTCCAATCCAACATAAGGTCTCTGCACATCAAATAAACTCTTTTTCTCAAAGCTTTATTTCCAGAGTTTTCATCATTATAGATTCTAGAGAAAATAACCACTAGGTTTACATTTATTCAGTCAAAATCAAAGAAAATGATAAGTACAAACAAGAAGTATCCATCAACTAATAAAAAACAAATATTGGCAACCTGCAACAATCCTAAAGATATTTCAGACATTATTTGGAAATAACAGAAAATAAGCAGTACAGGAAAAAGAAAGGCTAAACAATACACTCGAATATTTATCTTTTTTCACAATTAAAATATTATATTCCTCAGCATGCAGAAACTCTATGAAATTGCTAGACTGGGTATCAAAGTTCTATAATGTGATTGTACCTGTCCTGGAGCATCATAATATATACATAAAATAAGTTTAAAAATATTAATAATCCTCTCATATCAATAGACATGAGAACGTTCTCGCATGGTGACATTAATCTTCACCTAAAAATAGCAAGTATAATATTTATGCCTAGGCGGTTTAGGCAAAAACAACACCAACCAGAAAAGGTGACAGTGGATTCACAGAAAGTCAAGATAGATTACCTTATGTCTCGATTTCGGATGTGATTTAGACTCAAAGTTTCATCATGGATATCATTTCCATAATCATAACATGACAGCATAAATGACCAATATAGTTGCAAAATATGACTACCAAGAATTTTTACAAACATAAAGACAAGAGTAATTCACTCGAAGAATACAACCAGGAAAGGGAAGTTCCACCACAAAAAATCGAGCATGATTCATGTATTACCTCAAGAGTAATGAACCCACAAAGGGCCCTAAATTTTGTTATGGCCAAAGCCATCTTAGGTTTATGATTAGCATCCTTACAGAGATTTGGCTTCAACTTATGCAATTCTTTGGCCAATTCTTTATCCGGATGTGCCTGTATTGAAAGGGGTTTTTCCACTGAAAGTACCTATATTAAAGCAAATGAAACACAAAATCAGGTTGGGATTTTACTTGCAAAAGATAACTACCAGAAGAAGAAAATGCTCATATTGTAGTTAAAGTTATGTTGGTTCCCATTTTTAACTGTCAAACTTAATTCTTTGCCATTAACTTCTCGAAGATCCATTCTAGTTCCCTAGCTAATTTCTATCTTGATCGCTTTGATCTAAACTTAAATTGAGATGAAAACAACCTAAAAAGTAAAATTTTACACTTCTAAATACCAAAAGAAGCAGAGGGGGAAATAAAAATTGACATCACAAAATGGTAAAAATGGAAATTTTAGATGAATGGTGAGAATTCAATTTCCATGAATACTGAAGAAAAAGTTCTGGCCATTACTATTAAAATGAAAAGAAAACTCATTAACCCAATTCCAAACACATACACACAAAAATCAAAATTCAATTTCCCAGTAATCAAAGGAAATGAGAGAAAAAAAATCTCCATAAAGAAAGTAGAAAAATACGTGTAAGAAAAGAACAAACCTTGAACAGAAAAAGAAGATCATGCCCCCATTTTTTCAAAACCTTGTGACCAAGCACATTTGGATTCTTCAAAATCCAATCTTTTAAACTCAAATTCCCACCTTCTCCATTGTTATCAGCCATAAAACTTGGCCCTGAGTCATGGTTTCCCATCCAAAACTCAGCATATGGCCTATCAGGCTTAATCTCAGACCCAGAATTCAAAGCCAAAAGCCTCGCCACCTGTGCCTCGGTCCCCCATCTTCCCCAATCATAGTTTTGAACCCAAGCTCTTAGCTGCTTCACCTTGTCGACATTAGCCTTCACCATTGCTGAATAGAACCCCAAACGAAACAAAGGAAACTAATTTTGAAGAAAAATGAGAAGAGAAAGGGCTACGAGAGAATGGTAATGCGAAAGGGAGGGGGCATTTTTTGCTGGTATTTAAAAAGTTTGAAAGGGTACGTGGAGAGAGGGAAACAGACTGGAAAAAGAGACTGAAAAGTAGAGAAATGAAAATTATGGGGGGAAATTAAAAGACGACCTTTAGAGATGACACACAATGAAAAATGTACTCTATGTGTTTGCTAAATATTTTGGATTATGACTATTGAATATGACACACATTATTGTAAGTCATAAATTGTTAAGATTTTAAGAAACATGACATTTTTTTATGACGCACATTTTTTGCAAGTCATAAATTAGTGTGTGTCATCGTTCATGTGTCATTAACAGTATATTTTTGTTGAAAACATTTTGATGTTTCGATATAACAAATTAAATGTTAAATAATTTTAAGATTTTCTAATAAGTTTTAAATTATATATTCGATTAAATTATTCGAATATCAAAATTATTACTCCAAGCTTTTCAAATGTCAATTTCAACCTTTACTCAAGTGCAAAATTAAGTTTCAAACTTAATTTTTTTTTGAAACAAATTACAAAGTATTTTGAACCTTTTTTAAAGCCAAAAATTACAGTTTACTCTGAGGGTATCGATACCCCCACAGAGGTACCGATACCCCCTAAATGGTTTTTATTCCGAGAAATAATAGATTACTCGGAGAGTACCGATACCCCTAAGGAGATACCGATACCCCCCAGGAGGTACCGATACCCCCCCAAGAGGTACTGATACCCCCCCTCAGGAGGTACCGATACCCCCATGTTATAATGGTCTAAATATTTGAATTTTACACTAAGAGGTACCGATACCCTATGGTAGGGGTACCGATACCCCCCCCACTCCCAGCATACTTTTTCAAGTGGATTTTCACATTACAACAACTCAAACTTCATCCAAATGATTCCCAACGGGTAGAATCATCTCAAGGAGTATATATATAAGTTCTGAAGCCATTGATCATAGACAATCAATAGAGAATCAAAGATAGAGATTTAAAACATCAAGTTTGAGCAATTCAAGCCATTTTTCATTCAATATTCATTTTTGCTTTCAATAACACTTGTTGTACTCAATTGTATTATTTTTTAGTGTTCTTTTTTTTGTTCTACAATTGTGCAAACATTTTGCCTTGTGAGGATTTTCATATAAGTTTGCAAAATTTGTATTGTTCTCTTTGGGAAGGAGTGTTCTCAAGAATTTGGTATATACTTCTTGAGGGATTTGTAAGGTTACTCTTTGTCCTCAAAAGAAAGACAAATTTGTGAATTTGTGGAAAATCCTTAGTGTGGATAGCTAAGGTAGTGGACGTAGATTTTGGTTTTGAAAGTCGAACTTTGGTTGAGAAAGTCGAACCACTCTAAATTGTTGTGCAAATATTTTCATTTTCTACAAAAGCTTCCACCAAAACTTTTATTGCCAATTCACCCCCTCTTGGCCGATTCCATCGATCGATTAACTCAATAATTTTCTTATAGTGAGTATCGATACTCTTTCAAGAGTATCAAAACTTTGGGTCATAGTTTCTAAATTCCCAAAAAGTTTTGAAACTAGGTAGAATAGAATGTTTAAAAGTATCAATATTTATATAAAGTATTGAAACTTTTGGAAATGTATCGACACTCTTGGGCTAGTATCGATATTCAATATGTTTTGGTCAGAACATTGCCGAGAGGCCCTAGACCCATAGTATGACTATAAATATGATCGAATAGGTGTAAAACACTCGAATAAGTGTTATAGAAGGTGTTTAAAGTTGGGTTAAAATGAATGAAATAGTTGTATGGGTATCGATACCTTAGGAAGGGTATCGATACTACAGAGAGCGTGTTGACATTGTAAGGATAGTATCGATACCAAGGGTATGGTTTGAGCTTTAAAGCACGGGTAAGTGTAGAGAAAAGCAAGGGTATCAATATTGTAAGGCCAGTATTGATATCAAGGTTGAGAAATGGGCTTTAAGTCTATAGAAAGTATAGAGGTATGTGATGTTTCCAATAACTTATAGTTTCTCTCAAATAAGACTACAAGTGAGAACATTTATTAATGTTAATTTCAAACATAGAAAAGAGAATAAAGTAGGGTGAAATAAGAATAGCTTTGTTTCAATGCTCAGGGAAACAACTAGGACCCCCGAGTTCTTTTAGAAAAGATAGCAGAGTCGACCGTATAGATTCAGTCTGGATATCCTTAGGTAGAGTTGATGTCTTTCTAACTAACTATATTTTTTGAGGCCTTAACACTCTTTAGAAGAAATGGTGGGTTAGATAAGGGTATGGTTTTCGATACAGAGAATTCCAGGGGATATATCCAGGGTAGAAAAAAGGGGTGTGTAAGCTCCGAGACACAGAACCCTTAACTGTATCATGATGTCTACCATAGCATAGAGAGTGAGTATTCTAGAATACTCACTAAAGCAGTTTTAAAGCAGACTACCTTGGGCGCAAGGTCCAGCACTCAAGGAGTGGGCCACTAGAACATAACAAATAGTAGAACATATAACAGTAGACCTTAAACTAGTAGACTTGATAGCTTAAGCTTTTCAGTGATGCAGTTAGTATGTTTTAGCTGTTAGTGTGGCATGTTTCCGTGGTTAAGTTAATAGATCAAGCAGTTGGGAAACATTAGATAGACCAAGGTCCAGACCAGTCCAGTACAGATCAGATGTACGTCTCAGCGTTTTTTATTTGGGCATATATATATGTAAATATTATTATATAGTTGAGTCGTAGATTCAGTCAAGTTAGTTTGTAATATTTTTGAAGTGTAAATGTTTTATTTTGGAGCTCCTTAGTAAAAGAATTTTTTTATATTGCAATTTATTTTATGGTCATTTTAAAGCATAAGAAAATAAGTTTAAAGTTGGTTAGCCACTTCGGTGGTTCCGTGTGATATTCTATATCGGTCGACTGTGTTTCGTACTAGTCTAGGGTATTACACTTGGAAATTTTCTCTCAATGACTTAGGAGAGCTTAGTTATTTCCTTTGACTTGAGGTGAGGCGATTCCTTGGTAAACTTGTTCTTAGTCAACGCAAGTTTGTCACAGAGTTGCTCGAACGGACTAATGTGAGCCATTCCAAACCTGTTTTCACTCTCATGGTTGTCACACCAAAGTTGGTCCAAGATGCTGGTCTCTGTTGGTTGATGCTCAGTCATATTAGAGTGTGGTTGGGGCTGGTTGTCACACCAAAGTTGGTCTAGGATGCTGGTCTCCGTTGGTTGATGCTCAGTCATATTAGAGTATGGTTGGGGCTCTTCTTTATCTCAGCCACACCAGGCCAAATATCGCTTACTGTGTGGGCTGAGTAGCGCAATATATGCATAGTCCTTGCCAATTTCATTAGGTAACAGTTAAATGCATTTTGCGTTATTTGAAGGGAATGTCGGACTTTGGTTTAGTGTTTTACACCTGCAGTCATTATTTCAACATTGTTGCTTTCACTGATGCTAACTGGGCAGGAAATCCTTATGATAGAGGTTCAATCGCAGGTTCTGTGTGTTCTTCGGAGATAATCTTATCTCACGGTCATCTCGTTGTTGGTAAATAAACGAGAACAAGAAATTTCCCTATAACCAGATTAGTGAGAATGCGAAATAAAAGCGGAAAAATAATACCCGAAATTGATAACGAAGTTCAGCCAATTATACCTACGTCTCCGGACTGCTGCAGATCTTTTACTAAGAGAGAAAATTTACAGGTGTTTACAAAACACTCACTACTCACAAGAAAACTCTCTAGTAATGGGAGAAAGAAATGATTTAGGATACTTTTGAAGCTAAATGAGCTAGGGTATTTATAGTTGAAGCTTAGGGACTAATCTTTGAAAATACCCTAAAGTGCAATGACTAAAACGTAATTAATCATTGTTAAATTCAAAAAATTCAACTACCTAATTTTTGAATTCCTACATCCATCGGCTGCCATCTAGAATGCCATGCAAAATTTCAACAATTGCTAGCTATCATCTAGAATGCCATGCAAAATTTCAACAATTGATGGCTGACATCTAGAATGCTATGCAATTGTCAACAATCTCCCACTTGAAGATTGATTTTAATTTGTCTTCACACCTCGATCAATGCAACAATATTTATGGTCTTGTCAATATATATGCCGGATTTTGAGCTCCACTAATCTTTTAAAGTTTCAAAATCCCATCTTCCAGAAGAGACCGGATAAAATGATATCGCAATTGTATGTGCTTCATCCTGGAATAAAAAGATAGATTCTTTGCTAGATGGATAACACTTTGACTATCGCAATGCAAGACATTGTTTTCTTGTTTCTTGCCTAACTCTTCCAAGAAACTTTAGAGCCAAACCATTTCCTTACTGGCTTCTATAACGGCGACATATTCTGCTTCAGTTGTGGAGATGGCAACTATCTTCTGTAGTTGAGAAACCCAACTTACTGCAGTTCCTCCTAGAGTATAGGCATACCCTGTATTGCTTCTTCTGATGTCAACATTTCTGGCTAAGTCAGCATCTACATAGCCTGTCAGTATCGTATCTCCACCTTTGAAACAAAGTGCTTTGTTTGTAGTACCTTGCAGATATTTGAGGATCCATTTGACTGCTTCCCAGTGTACCTTGCCCGGATTATTCATGTACCTGCTAACAGCTCCCACTGCATGAGCAATATCTGGTCTGGTACAAACCATGGCATACATCAGACTTCCAATTGTTGAGGCATACGACACCTTCACCATGTGTGCACGTTATTCCTCTGTCTTTGGTGACTGTTCTTTGGAGAGTCTAAAATGAACATCTAAAGGTATACTTACTGGTTTAGCATCTTGCATATTAAACCTGGAGAGTACTTTATTGATGTACTCAGCCTGTGATAACATCAAAGTCCCCGACTTTGTGTCTATCTTAATCTTTATCCCAAGAATCTGCTTTGCAGCGCCCATATCCTTCATAGAAAACTGCTTCAACAATTTTTGCTTTAAGTGTATAATCTCTTGCATGTCTGAGCCTGCAATGAGCATGTCATCAATATACAATAATAAAATAATGAAGTTGTTTTCAACCTCTTGATATAGCAAAAATGATCTGCTTGGTATCTGATAAAACCACTGCTACTCATGAAGCTATCGAACTTCTTGTACCACTATCTAGGAGCTTGTTTTAAACCATACAAGCTCTTCTTCAACCTGCATTCCAGGTTTTTCTTGTCTGCCTTTATAAAGCTTTCTGGCTGTCTCATATAGATTTCTTCCTCCAAATCACCATGATGGAAAGTTGTCTTCACATCTAACTGCTCAAGATGTAGATTCTCTGCAGCTACAATTTTCATCACCAGTCTGATTATAGACAGCTTCACGACTGGAGGGAAAATTTCATTGTAGTAAATACCTTCTTTTTGCTGAAAACATTTGACAACCAATCTTGCTTTGTAGCATTTGCTCCCATCGTGCTCTTCTTTGATCCTGTAAATCCACTTGTTATGGAGCGCTTTCTTGCCTGGTGGTAATTCAGCTAATTCCCATGTCTGATTTGACATAAGCGAGTCTATCTCATCTTTCATGGAAGACTCCCATTTGACTAAATCCTTTACTTGCATTGCTTCATCATAGCACTTTGGTTCACCATTGTCAGTCAGCAACAAGTAGTGCAAAGAAGGTGAATAATGCTGGGTTGGTTTAGGAATTCTGGAGGAGCGTCTCAATTATGGTGTGACTGGTTCTTCTTGAACTGCTTCAGGACTGATATGAGCATCATTTCCAGAAATCTCCTCAAACTCAGCAAATTCCTTTGTTTCAGCTTCGATATTGGAGCTACTTGATTCTATGATTGACCTGTCTTTGTACATCATATTCTCATTGAAAATGACGTCTCTGCTTCTGATGATCTTTCGATTTTCTTAGTCCCAAAACCGATAACCAAACTCATCACCGCCATAGACAACAAAGACATATTTGTTGGACTTAGCATCAAGTTTACTTCTTTCAGCAGAGTTTATGTGTACATAAGAAATATAACCAAACACTCTTAGCTGTGAAAAGTTTATTTCTTTCTTGCTCCAAGCTTCCTCTGGTATTCCACCATCCAAGGGAACTGAGGGCCCATGGTTGATCAGGTAAGCTGCAATGTTGATAGCTTCAACCCATAGCAATTTGGGCAATCCGGCATGTATCCTCATGCTTCTGGCACGTTCATTTAGAGTTCTGTTCATGCGTTCTGCTACGCCATTATGTTGCGGTGTCATGGGAACTGTTGTCTCCATCTTGATCCCATTATTTGCGCAGAAATCTGAATATACTATATCTGTACTCTCCTCCATTATCAGACCTCAACCGCTTAACTTTCAAACCAGTCTCATTTTCCACCATGGCCTTCCATTTTCTGAAGGTATCAAAGACTTCTAATTTCTTATTCAGAAAATAAACCCACACCTTTCTTGTAAAATCATCGATGAAGGTGACATAATATAGTGAGCATGCAAGAGATGAAATTGGAGATGGTCCCCATACATCAGTATAAACCAACTCTAACTTTTCTGCCTTGGGTGTCTTGTCAATCTTTGCAAAACTGACTTTCTTTTGTTTGCCAAAGATACAATCTTCACATAGTCCGACATCTAAATTCTTTAGATCCGGCAGCTTCCCTTTTGATAGAAGTTTCTTCATCTCTTTCTCGCTTATATGGCCAAGCCTTTGGTGTCATAGGTTTGATTTTCCATCAACATCTGCTACTGCAATGATATTCTCTAAATTTGAGGTTACATAGAGAGTATCAGTCTTCTCACCATGAACAATAACGAGTGCTCCTTTGGTAATCTTCCATTCACAGCCTGAAAAGGTTGTGATATATCCTTCTCCATCAAGCTGTCCTACATAAATCAAATTTCTTTTGAGGCCAGGAATATGTCTCACTCCTTTCAGCGTCCAGGTGGTTTGGTTTGGTAACTTTAATCAGATGTCTCCTTTTTCGACGATCTTCAAGGTTTTATCATCAACTAGATGAACCCTCCCAAAATCACCACTGACATAGTTCTCCATGATTTCTTGGCATGGAGTAGAGTGGAAAGATGCCACTGAATCCAAGATCCATGATTCAATCGGACTATTAATGCTTAGAATCATGGCATCACCTGTCTCCTCTGTCATGTTGGCAGATTCTTGTGCGTCGGTATCTTTCTTCAATGCTCGACAATCTCTTTTAAAGTGACCCTTCTTGCCACAATTATAACAGGTAAAATCTTTCTTTCCCATTCTTGATTTTCCCCTTTTGGATTTGGATCTGCCACGATTTGAATTTCTTTCTGAAGTTCTCCCTCTAGACTCCATGTGCAAGGCTGAGGAGGTTGATGCTTCACCCGATTCTCTATGTCGAATTTCTTCGCTCAATACTAGATCCCGAACATCGTCGAATTTTAATTTGTTGTTTCTCGACGAGCTACTTACTGCTGTAACAGTAGCATTCCAACTGTCTGGTAGAGATGATAAGAGAATTAAAGCTCGAACTTCATTATTGAATTCAATTTCCACGGAACTCAACTGAGTTGTGATTGTTTTGAGTTCATTTAAGTGTTGAGCAACTGATGCCCCTTCTGCCATCCGCAAATTGAATAATCGCCTCATCAAATGAATTTTGTTTGAGGCCGATGGCTTCTCATACATACTGGAGAGAGCTGACATAAGACGCGCAGTGGTCTTTTCATTTTCTATGTTGAAAGCAACATTGCGGGATAACGTCAGTCGAATAACTCCGAGGGCTTGTCTGTTGAGAAGAGCCCAGTCTTCATTCTTCATGCCCTCTGGTTGCTTTCTTGAGAGAGGTTGATATAGATTTTTCTAGTACAAAAAATATTCAATCTGCATCTTCCAAAAGCCAAAGTCCGCACCATCGAACTTTTCAATTTTCACATTCCCTTCGTCTACAGTCATCGCTCCCACTCGAATCTGGCTTTGTTTGGATCGTTTCTGACAATTCTTGTGAACCACCGTGTATTAGAACACCTCCGTCGACAAATTCGTATCGCCGACAAAATTTTTACTATTCACTAAATTCATTATTCACATGAATAGTAACCTCGCAAAAAATTGACAAAATTCACAACCAAAAGCTCTGATTACCAGTTGTTGGGAAATAACGAGAACAAGAAATTTCCCTATAACCAGATTAGTGAGAATACGAAATAAAAGCGAAAAAATAATACCCGAAATTGATAACGGAGTTCAGCCAATTATGCCTACGTCTCTTGACTGCTGCAGATCTTTTACTAAGAGAGAAAATTTACAGGTGTTTACAAAACACTCACTACTCACAAGAAAACTCTCTAGTAATGGGAGAAAGAAATGATTTGGGATGATTTTGAAGCTAAATGAGCTAGGGTATTTATAGTTGAAGCTTAGGGACTAATCTTTGAAAATACCCTAAAGTACAATAACTAAAATGTAATTAATCATTGCTTAAATTCAAAAAAATTCAACTACCTAATTTTTTAATTCCTACATCCACTTGCTGTCATCTAGAATGCCATGCAAAATTTCAACAATTGCTAGTTATCATCTAGAATGCCATGCAAAATTTCAACAATTGATGGATGCCATCTAGAATGCCATGCAATTGTCAACACTCGCAAGCAAAAGTCGGTTTCTCGGTCCACCACAGAGGTCGAGTACCGTAGCATTGTTGATGTTGTTTTGGAGATTGTGGTTAAAAGCTATTTTAACCGATATAGGTGTGCCTCAGAACAAACCTGCAGTAATCTGGAGTGATAACACTAAATCAGTCACCATGAGCACTAACCTTGTCTTCCATGCTCGTTCGAAGCACCACTTCGTTAGGGAAAAAGTTGCTGACAATACCTTGTGAGTTAATTATGTACTAGCTGGTTCTCAAACAGCTGATGGTCTCACAAAGCCTTTGGCTCAGTCGAACTTTTTAGTTTTTCGACAGAAAGTTCAAGCTTTTGAGGAGAGCAGCAGTTGAAGTAGAGAGCATGTCGACGATTATGGTGGCTAGCTATGAGCTGGATGCTGATGTCACGGTCAGTTAGGTTGTTAGCAACAGTGGTTAGTTAGATTTGTTAGCTCAACAATTCCTCGTGTAAAGAGCTTCTATAAAAGCAACCTGTCATCTTCAATAAAATTAGAGCAATTCATATGTTGAAATTCTTTCTTTATCTTTTCTTGTAAACCCGATCTTTGTTTAACAAGCATTACAATATGTCTAGCGAGCTTGAATCATAGTGACTGACACATAATTTATGGAGTTGGTTCCTTCAGTACTACTCGATCTCTCATCCCCTTTGTGAACTCTCTTCTCTATAAATGCAGGTTGATTCGGGGACGGAAGAGTCGTTTTGTTACCAAACAGAGAAATGACTGTGGCCATAGTTGGTCGATGTGTTGCATGTTCTTGAACGCACAGCAGTCCGATTTGAATGCATTTCAAAATTTCATCAGTAGAATATGAATCACCTAAGGCCGAGTCAACTACTTCCATGGCTCTGTCTTGTTTCCACAGCTCCCAAACCTGAAACAGTGTTGTTTGAATAGAAGATATTGATTTAATTGACATCACTTGATAGAATCGTTCTGCAAACTTGGTTTACTTACATGTCCGACCAGATTTAAAGACGGACTATCAGGAAAATAACTGCTGTTCCTTTTTCCAGTGATAATCTCTAATAACAGGACCCCAAAGCTATAAACATCGGATTTCATCGAGAAGTGTCCATGCATTGCGTACTCCGGCGACATGTAACCGCTACAAAAACAGAAGAAACAGAAAGGAAATGGTGAGAACTGGTTTGAAACTTGTAGCAGAAGTTGGCTCTAAACTTTGCATTTGCGGTGCTTACTATGTTCCAACTACACGTTTAGTATCACCTTCTGTTTGATCTCCTCCAAATATTCTGGCCATGCCAAAATCTGAAATTTTGGGAGTCATTGTAGCATCTAATAAGACATTGCTCGCTTTCAAGTCTCTATGAATGATTCTTAACCTGGAATCATGATGAAGATACAAAATTCCTCGAGCAATTCCACAGATGATTTCTAAACGCATTTTCCAATCCATCATTGATCTCTTTGATTCATCTGTATCCAAAAGCAGTTTTAAAAATGTATTTGGCATAAGTTTTCAGCAATTCAAAAGAATGCATACCGAAAATAATAGAGTCTAAGCTTTTGTTTGGTAAGAACTCATAGATTAGCATCTTCTCTTCACCCTCAATGCAACATCCCAGGATTCTAACGAGATTCCTGTGCTGAAGTTTAGCAATCAGCACAATTTCATTTTTAAACTCCTGTACTCCTTGCCCTGAGTGCTTTGATAGTCTTTTCACGGCTATTTCTTTTCCATTCAAGAGCACACCCTGCAGATACAAAGAAATGTCCTTTAAAGAATGGACTAGCAGGAGCTTTATGCCACACCCGCATGTAAATAAATAGTTGTCAGGAGAAAGGTTACCTTGTAAACAGGGCCGAATCCGCCTTGTCCGAGTTTGTTATCAGAAGAGAAATTATTAGTGGCAACGGCTATGGTGCTCAAATGAAAGAATGGTAAATCTCCATTTCTTCTGCTATCATCAATCTCCTTTGCACCTAAAGGATCTTCGAATGTGGTAAAGCTAAACATATTTTTGCTGTTTCTTGTTCTTGCTGCTGTCAGTACTCAAACACAATATCATGATTAAGCCAATTTAGTTGGCAACTATTGAAATGTGAATCAATATGATGTCTAAAAAACAAAACCAGAAGTGATACGTACCTCTTCTTTTTCTTCTTACCAGGCAATGGAAGAAGGCAACAAGAATGAGAAACAAAACAGCAGAAGAAACTATGGCAAGTGCAAGGACTTCTTTCTTTTGAGGTAGACTTTTCTTTGTATACCGAGCTAAAAAGATGGAGATACGATGAGTATTTACGTAAATTTTATACTGACAAGGGTCTTCTATTTACACTGCCAAAGAATCACGGTATGATTCACTCGACAAGACATTAATTGCATTAAAATTTGATTTGGACCCTAAACAACTCTGGGACAAGTTCAACTAACTGATATGGACCTGTTTTGGCTGTCAAGATATTAATAGCTGCAACTTGCATATACGAAACGTACCTAACTCGTTTTTATCCACTCGTATGTATAGATCTTGCCCTGTATTGGTATAGGCTCTCGCATCCAACAAATCCCCATGCCATGTCAAGCAGCCGATCCCTCTGCCGATCTCAGAGTATGCACTGGCATAAGCCACGCATGAACAATTTCTCAAGCACTTTTCCTTGCATTGCTTCAACCCCATAGTCATGTCTACATGTGCCGCCGATGCGTCCGGAACCTTTACGTGCTTAAACTTGATGAACCCTTCTCCATTTCCACACAGGGAGATACCAGTACCACGGTTCCTCACACACCCTGCTGCCCCGTCTCGTATCGACCATGCTTCGGGTGATTTGGGTTCGAACCCGGGGAAACATGAACACTCGAAGTGACCTGCGAGATAAGAGTTACAGTAACCATTTGGCCCGCAATGCTGGTAAAAATCACACGGTTCATTTGGAATTGTCGAAAATAAAATCCAGCTTTGCGCTTCATTGTTCCATGTTAATCTTTGTAGAACTCCTGTTTCATTCGTCACTGTTCTCGATATGAAGGATGCATTTCTCACGTTTGAATAGAACAATACTTCATCACCAGTGTTGACAAAAGAATCATTAAAAAGGGAGGTCTTCGTCATTCCAGGTATACCACTCCAGCTATGCCCGGTCCATGTCCCGCTTCGCCACAAAGGAGCCGAACCCTTGTACAAAAACATTTGAGGAAACCCGGTCGGGTTCATCTTGAAGGAATAATCTCCAACCCCTGGATCATCCGGAGATTTCCAAGACGTGTACACACGGTTCAGACCAGTTCTAACATCCAACCCAACGCTCTGTAATGAAAGCCAGGTATTTATCGGATAATCAAAACTCTGCCACAGTACAGCCTTTCTGGCATCATTCTGAAGCAAAACAAGATTCCCCGAATCTAGAATTTGAGCAGTGGTGTTCCTAGTCTCTGCGATGGACATGTTAGTAGACCAGACAGGAAATGTTTGGTTTCTCCGGAACAAGGCGAGATTTCCTCGACTGTCGATCCGGAGAATCCCCGAGTTATCTTTAATGGGATCGTCTCTGTTAGCCACCCAAACAACTGTCTTCTCCGGAATCTGATGATACCAGATGCCAACGTAACGACTCGTGGAGTTTCCAGGGCTGAAAAATCCCAGTGAAAAAATCTTGCCACTAGAAACAACGAATTCACCGTTATCTTCTATGAATTGATCTTGTGTTATGGTATCTGCAGAAAAGGAGCAGCGAGAAAGAAAGAAAACAATCAGTATTCTGAGATGCAAGTTAACGGGATTCATGGCTGGTGTTCATTAGAGGTGTTTTGAGAAGATAGATATATTTTATTTTCTGGAAGGAGAGTAGTTGGAGTCAATGAGTCATTAATAAGTGGATCCAATAACATTTTACTTTTGTGGATTAACTGTAATGGCAAATTTAATAGGCATGATCAAGTCCAAAAAAATGACTATTTTCTTTATCTTTTAATATTTGATTTCAATATTTTTTTTCTCATACATGATTTGTTTTTAACTCCTAAAATGGAAGTAATTCAATTCTTCATGAACAACATGAGACTCATCATGATATGCATTGATTATGTACCATAGTACAACCTTGCCTGCCTTTGATGTACTTTTTTAATGTATAAGATTTATATTTTAATAATTCAAAGTTAAATATTATTGTAAATAATTATATTTTTATAATAATAATAATATTTTCACCTTATAAAATTTTAAATGATTAATATAAAAATATAAAAATATGCAATAATTTTAACCGCTCAAATTTGTTAATATTTTACTAAATTAAACTCTTTGTATATTATTATTAAGTTTATAATTTTGAGTAATGCACGAAAAAAAGAATTGAGAAGGATTTATACGAAAATAATTCATTATTTTATGAGTATTTGTGTACAAAATGATGGGAATTGTTCATTACCTAAGAATCTGGAGGTAATGACATTCCTACCCAGGGACAGAGCCAGAATTAAATATTGGCAGGGGCCGAAATATTAAACTATTTAAGAAAAATATAAAGATTTATTAGGTATTTAAACTCGTAATTCAGCATGAACCAATCGACCTTAGTGATTAAGGGATTGTTGTTATCCTTGAGGTCCCGAGTTCAATAACGTATGTGGGGGTATAAGCGTTCATTTTCAAATAGTTGAAAGTCTTTATACATATATTATCTTGTATTCACCCTAAATTAAAAAAAACTCAAAAGACAACTTCTAATTTGTCTATATTTAAACTTACAATGACTTAAATTGTAATTAGACCAAAAATTTGAGAAAACAAACTTATCATTCTTTAGTTAGACTCCTACTTGATTAAATATTTAGTAAATTTTTATATTTTTAAATTTAAATTTTTTTTTTACATGAACCAAAATACTATTAAACCAAAATTATATCGAATATATAAATTTTAACATAGGTTCAGGGCCCTCTTAAGCCCTAAGGGAGTTTCGTCCCTGTTCCCACCATTTTAACTAAAAAGTGTTACTATTGGTAATAACTTATTACCTGGTAATGATCATTTTCGCGAACCAGACGTGAAAATACAATTCCGAAAAAAGATTATTCACCATGATAATGATCTTTTCCACGAGCCAAACACCCTTAATACACAAAAATAGCATAGCTATAACATACCATCGTCTAATAAACATCATTGTTGCAAAAAATGTATTAAACTCTCAAGACTTGTATACACGCCACCTAAATAGGGAAATTAACAAATTATAATACTCCATCTATCTTATTAATTATATCACTTTTGGTTTTTAAAACTCTCATTCAAAATGTCATATTAGAAGAGTCATCTAACAATAACACTTATATTTTCTTTTTTACCTTTATACGTCACACTCTTTTACACTTTTCAAAACAAATCTGTCAATTACCTTTTAATGATAATTTTGTCAAATATATCTCCTAAAATTATGTGCATAATTAATATAAAACAAATTATGGGAAGAAGGAAGTATATACTTGTCACTCGAAATCTACATACGAAAACACATCGCACACTGAACTTCATCAATGACATTAAAGACAATATGACATAGCATACTATAAAACCATTATAAAACAATACCACAAACACCAGGTACATATAGAATCATGCTCTAGTCATTGAGGAATACTGAAAGAGATGCATTACAAGTTGTCATAGTAAAAAGTATCTTCCATTTATTCATCAAACATATCATATGGTGATAAATAGGGTGGATATTAGATTAGGTACGAAAGTGATTAAGTGAACAATATAACATCTATATTGTGATAATAGTATCATTCACAGTTTATCTAATACATATCATTTAACATATTAAACATAGTTAAGAACTAATCACAATCCCTAAACATTTCAACATTACACAAATTACATAATGACGTACGCTCACCTTTAATCCGAGCTTATCAAATTAAGCCTTCATAATCTTTAGTCTCCAAGTTTTTGTTTCCTTTTAGAGTAGGAATGGCAGAACAATCCGAACCCGACAGGGAAACCCGAAACCCGATTAAGTTCGGGTCGGATCGAGTTTGAATAATATCGGGTCGGGTATTGGGGTAAAATTCGGGAATTTTTTCGGGTTCGGGTTCGAGGACAGGGCAAGGTATCCCCACCTCGCCCCGAT